GGCTACGATACAGGGCTCCTGTCACAACTGTCGCGCTCGAAAGGTGCGATGCGACCGAAATACACCCCGGTGTTCCTCGTGCCAGTTGCGGGGTGTTTATTGCCAGATACCGGCGTCTCCACCGCGGATACTCTGGCTGCGGCCGCGCAATGCTCATGGCAAGGGTGAAGTGGAGGAGTTGCATGCAAGGCGGCAGCTTCTAGTCACAGGTAAGCTGGCCTGTTGCATACTCAACCGAATTGTTACGGTGTGACAGAGTCTGAGTTGCGTAGAATACCAACTCGGTAGCAATGCTACCGAACTGGTGTCCATCTTGGGAGGCGTCTCGATAGCTGCGGCCCTCAATGAGCTAGATCAAAAGGCTATTGGCCTACAAACCGAGGAGACCACGTCCATTGGACCTTTTCATGCATTTCGGTTCATGAACGACATCTCCTCGGCTCAACCTGATGCAGACTCAGACACCACCGCATTTGCAGACCTGGACCCGGCAACGTCCGATGCAATATATGGACTACCAGATGATCCAGTCTTGTTCTCCAAAATAACAGGACGGATGAATACACTCAATCATACATATTCAGCTTCGAAACCACCCAACTTCGCAATTCCCCTTGAACACACCACTCGCGCGAAGCACACCACAAAACCTGGTCGACTTCACAGCCCCTACTGCTAAGCTCCTCTTGGATCACTACCGCCGCACCATTATCAATTACCTGGCCCCGGCACGTGTCAAATCCAAGTCCCCCTGGGAGAAAGTCTACATCCCCAGCGTGCTCGGCGCTATCGGTGAGATCCTTCTCAAGGGAGACAGCAGCAACGCGCGAGTGTCCCTTCTCTTCTCGGTGCTTGCAGTTAGTGCATTCAGTCTACACGAGGACACCCTGTTAGAAGATGAATGGGGTTGTTGTGCAAGTTCCCGCCTCCTCGGAAACATGTATCGTGCGAGAGCTACTATACGCTTAAAAAAGTCCCTACGGGACCTGTCGGCCGGCGGGACAAAGAAAGACAAGTACAAGGATATTCTCATGGCACTGCTGAGTATGGTGACCATTTGTGTCTGTCCTGAAAAGTGGGTGAATGGTTTGCAACTGTAATTCTAACCTTTGTCCAGATAGTCAGCGGGGACATGAACAACGCAGCACACTACCTGCGAGACAGCGAGGAGATCATCCACCGGTACGGAACACGCAAAGTCGCCCGATCGGTGAAAGTGCGCATGCTACACAGTATCTATCTCTACACACGTGTGTTGACGGAGCGTTCGTGCTTTAAGAACCTGGACTCCGATGCCGTCGCGACGGGCGATGGGGCTGAGAAGCCCTTCGACCCCCTTGCGCACTCAATGCAGATTTCCACGATGGACTACATGGTTGGGCCTGTCTACGTACCTGTTGCAGACAATTGGGTCCGGGACTTGGAGGATTCTGATCCGAATTTCCGGTCCCCTTTTGAGGACATCTACTCTCTACCGCAGTCGCTGTTTGAGCTTATCGCCGCGACAACGCGATTAGCATCCAGCTTGGGAAGATCAACTATGCGCGACGTTTCAGAGCCAGTACACCACAGTACGATTTTAGCGAGTATCAAAAACCTGGAGACTCAAATATGCAGTTGGGAGTACGGCACGGAAAGACATCAACAGTGCTTCACCCAGGCCCCCGAGGGAGCGCTCTCCGTACCACCTCGTCCAGGCGGTCCACAAAGCCCTGATCATCCACTTCCACCGGGCCATCCGGAACGTCAACGCGGTCATCCTTCAGCCATATGTCCACGACGTGATGCGGCATCTGATTGCATACGACGACTGCAGGCACAGGCTCAATGACCAATCAGCAGATACTTGCTGACCCGCATTCATAGCTGGCTGTGAAGCACTGGATCCTCAACTCCAGGGAGTGTTTGCCCGGTGGCTGCAAATCGCCGCCCAGACGACGGGGATCCGGATGTATACTGTAGCGCTGGAGGCCACGCGGCAGGTCTGGGAAGCGCGGAGGCGTCCTGGTAAGCAGGATGCGGCTTGGTCCCAGGTGCTATCCAATTCCAGTGATCTAAGGGTGTTGGTGCTAAGCTGAGAGAGAGAGGAAGCTTCTTGTATGACGAAAGCATCCCGATAAGCCGTCTGTTCTTTTCGTTCTCATTGGTCCTTTACGATTGACTTGGCGCAGTCGAAGATCGGTACCTATGGAGAACACAGGTTAATTTACACTCTACAGTGAAATGAATGGCCCACAAGACCGAGACACTTATCATATCTCCGCATTTCCCCTCACGATAAGCAACCCCCCCTCCCTTTGATTCTTATCAAGTGCGGGGAGATCTGCAATTGGTAAGTGACATCGGAATCTAGACGCTGATAGCCTTCTGTCGCGATACGAGATCCTTGCTTCGTCTCGATTGGCCTGATTCTGTTCACTCCCTGGATTCGGGTGAATGGTATATGAAGGGGTTGCTTCCGATATTCCGGGCTTCGGCCTCGGATGGCTGTCAGCCACACAAACAACAAGATAGGAGAATATGGAGCACGAAGAAAACCATCTTGGGGGTGACAATGTTGCTTCCAGCAAGCTGGAGGAAAAACAATTCGACTTGGAACCTACTCTCTCTGTCGCCGAGGGCCAGGCGATGCCGACGAGACCACTCATGGCAATCTACATCGCACGTTGAGTCCGCGGATGATCCATGTACGCATAGTTTCGCCATCCAGGGCTACCCCAGCAAGCCACATAACTCACAATATGACCTGCATAGGTGATCTCCCTCGGATCCAGCATCGGAAGCGGGCTTTTCATCGCGACGGGCAAAGCCCTAGCGGATGGTGGCCCCGGCAACATGTTCCTGGGTTATCTCGTGGTTTGTCTCGGGGTCTGGGCGAACCTTCAGACCTTGACGGAGATGACGATCGCGTTTCCGACTTCGGGGAGTTACATCGACTATGCGGATCGGTGGTTGGATCCGGCGTTGGCGTTCGGGGCTGGGTTCGCCGAGTGGCTTGGTGAGCTGCTGTCTTCGCTGTGGGTACGAGGTGTGGAGATGAGCTGATTGTGCCGGTCTGCATAGGGTGGACCTCGGTGTTTGCGTCCGAGGGGACGTTCCTGGTTATCCTGGTGAACTTCTGGGCTGGGGGCGTGGTGCCAGAGGCTGCTTTGCGTGAGTCTGTCCTACTCCTTGCCCTCTTCTCGTTGTGGCTCTTGGTCTTCTTTGTTTGGATGATTTGCTTTTCTTTGAGGAGCTTGTGGCTGATGGCTCTATATACAGTCACCATCTTCTTGGTAGTCTGTTCTGTGGTGTTCCTCATGCCAAACAGCTTCTTCGGATGGCTCGAATACATTGGGTCACTGGTCAAGGCTTTCTTGTTCGTCTTCATCACGATCATTTCACTGGCCATTATCGGCGGCGCGGGTCCGACAGGATACGTGCGAGACGGCAGCACCTGGATCGATCTGCCCGCCTTCAAGAACAGCTTCGGAGTAATTAATCCTTGAGAATGGCTTTACTTTGCTTTTTGATTCCTAATATAACCCCTATAGGGCTTTTCTAACGCCGCATTGCTCGCCATCTGGGCCGTCGGCGACCAAGTCTTCATCGGGGTCATGGCCGGCGAGGCCGAATCCCCGCGGTACTCCATGGCGCACGCATCCAACCTCATCCCCTGGCGCGTCGCCGTGTTCTATCTGGTGTCCGTCGTACTGGTCTCCCTGATCGTGCCGTCCACCGACTCCCGCCTGCTGGGTGGCTCGAGCGTGGCCTCGTCGCCGTTCGTCATCGCCGTTCAGGACGCCGGCATCCCCGGTGTCCCAGATCTAATCAGCGCGTGCATGATCATCGGCATTCTGGCGATTGCGCTGGAGTGTATCTTCCTGCCGTCGCGGATCCTCCGCACCATGTCTCTCCAGGGACTGTTGCCCGCGTTCGTGGCACAGGTGGATAAGAAGGGTCGGCCGAGGTGGGCGCTGGCCATCACCGCGGTCGCGGGCGTGGCTCTGACGTATATGAGTTTGAGCGGTATGCCGTCCACATTGTCTTCCTGTGCATTCTCATTGCATGCTAACCATGTGCATAGCCGGCGGCACGGAGGTTCTTAACTGGCTGATCGCCATCACCAGCGCCTCCTTCTTCTCCAACTGGGCAATCATCGCGGTCACCTCGTTTCGTTTCCGGGCTGCGATGCGAGCGCAGCAGAGTCCATTGTTCGAGACTCCATATGCGTGGCAGTCGCTATTGTGGCCTCTCGCCCCCGTGACCAGTCTTGCGGTCTCAAGCGTGTTGCTGGTCTGTCTTCTTTACACGAGCATCAAGCCGGTGGTGAGTTTTCGTCCCCGTCGTCTTTTCATTATCCCTTGCGAAGCTTCGTCAAGGTTACGCAGAGATTATCGCTAACTCGGGCCTTAAATTTACGATATAACAGAGCGGAGGCGGCTTTACAGCGTACAGTTTCTTCTCAGCTACGATCGGATTGATCCTCATCGTGGTATTTACCATCGCCTACAAGATCCTTCGACGCACACCCTGGAGGGACCCCGCGACGGCGGATCTGGTCACCGGTCTTCGGGAACTGAGTACAGGGGAGTTGCGGATGTTGGATGCTTACTATAGACGACCGCTGTGGCGGAGGTTGGGGACTTATCTGCGAGTCTGGTGAGGAGGCAGGACACCACAGGGGTTGAGGAGTGGTTTCATATGGGCGATGTTATGGTCTGCAGCTACCTCGGCGACATGAGCCAATCATCTTCCCGCACCGACGCCGAGCATGAATGTACTCATGCACATGGGCCCAACCATCACTGCTCTTTGAGTGCCGATGGCAGTGGATCATTATCCTCCATTTGGAGTAAGAATGCGTTATCATGCAGGCTTGATATTAGGGTGTGATGTAGCCTTATGAGGGGGAGTTTCCCCGCATCTTCATATCACTTATCATCAGAGTCCAATGTAAATACCAGCCTCTTCCCGGAGAACCGTCCCAGTAGTGTTGAAACAGCTCACATCAGTTGCTTGTCCATCTGAGTTTAGTGAACACGACTTATTCGATAAACATGGCAACCGCCGACCCCGTCTCAATAGCTTTCATCCACTTCATCACCGAGCACTGGCCATACCTCGGCGCAGGCCTGCTCGTACTCTGCGTACTACTTGTTCAAAGAAGAAGCCCAGCTCCAACCCACGAAGACCCCAAGAAGAATCTCCCAACACCTCAAATCGACCCCCTCGTCGACTTCGACTGGACTAAAACTGAGCCCCTCGTCCTCCGGCCCTTCAAACCCCGCTACCACATCACAATGGGTAGACCCCCCCCCCCCCCCCACTGCCCTCCAACCTAAGCAACCATTAACCAAAAACCAGGAATCGAAACGACCACCCTCTCCGAAATCGTCCAAATCGACAAACACTACCTCTCGCGCATCCAGCTCCGCACCGCCCTCATCCAGCACAAGAAACCCGCCGTGCTGGGCACGACCCCGCGCGCCGTCCCCGCCGTCCGCGAGCTCTACACCTTTTTGGTCAACGACTACCTCCCGCAGCGGTACGGGGCAATCTTCCACCGCCTCCCACCGTCCCCCAACCACCCAGAATCAATCACCAACGTCATCACCGGAGAAACCATCCCCTGCACACCCCCCACAGACCCCGAAGAAGCCCTCGCTATCATCGGCCGCCAAGTCGAGGAGGACTTTTTGCTCCTTCTCCCTCCTCCTCCTCCTTCGCCCACCATCTCCACAACCGGACCAAAAACGGAACCCAGGGCGGAGGACTTTGAGAATAAGCAAATGTCGCTCGAGGCATTCATCGGCTGCTTCCCGAACGGCTTCAGCTGGGCGGACAAATTCACCAAATCGCTGGCGGCCATCCATGTCCCCGTGCCGGATTACACGGCCAAGTTGAGGGGGAGTATGGATCGTTATCTGGGGCGGTTGGCGGTGGGGACTGTTGTTAAGCGGGCGAATGTATGTCTTTCCCTGCCTTTACTCTTGATTTTCTTTTTGGTTCGGGAGGATGGGGTTTGCTAATTTGGGAGTCGAAAGTGGACCGTGTCCGTGGACGGGGAGCTGCATGCGGCCGACAGTATGCATTTGTACGAAGGGGAGACGGTGGAGGAGGTGGAGGTGTTGGACGTTGAGAAGGTTTGTCTTGTTGCTCTTTTGCTCCCGGTGGAGGAGGTGAGGATTGGAAAGCAAAAGTCGATGGCTGATGCAGGTTCTAGGCCCGATTGCGGTGCGAGAGACAGGTGCTCTTCCGGCTGCCCCGCTCCAACGCGGTGGTGTTTGTGGTCCGCACGTATATGTACCCTTTGCAGGAGATCAAGGAGGAAGGTAGTGGGCCGAGGATGGTGGAGGCTATCGCTGGGCTGAAGGCGGGCAGCTCCCCGGGGTTCCATTTCTACAAGCGCGCGGCCGTCTGGCAGAGGGCTGTGAGTGAGTTTTTGGTCGGGAAGGGCGGGGGTTGTGCAGAGTAGGAGATTTACCGGGTTCCTGAGGTGCATTGGTCTATTGAGGTGTCCATCAACTTCGTTCTTCATGCAAACATACCAAGGTTCTACTGGAAACAGAGATCCGTAACCCCCCCGGAGAGATCTAAGACATAGTCACGAGACCCCATCTACCCTAATATCAAGACAACAACATCGCCCCATCACCGCATTACCTTGCGATAAAGCCGGCGGATTCACCGGCGGATGGCTGGGTGTTGGGGCTCTGGGGGTGAGAGGCGCTAATTGAAGGGGATGAGCGCTGAGATTTTGGAGGTCGGAAGAAAGGGTTATATGAGTATGGGCGGTGGTTATACGTTGCTGTCGAATGTGCGTACTGACAATATGTTTTGTGAAGTCATGAGTGCTAGCCTGGGTGTGTCTGAAGTCTGATGGATTCACTTTGCATATGACCGCATTGGCCAGTTCGTCAGTGGTAGGGACTTGGCACTAGATAGTGCTCATTGTCAGCCACTGCTTGTAGAGAGTTTATGCAACCCTGCGCCATAAGCATACAAGACTATTGTTTACACTCAGTCTCAGACAAATAATCTGTTATTTCGCTCCAACCATCGTTTCTCCCACGTTTAGGTCCGTCAAGTAATCCTATCGTTCTGCATTGGGCTCCATTAAAGTTTCTAAGCCAGGACCGTAGCTCTTTCTCCGTCTGATCCATCACTCTCGGTCCTCGCCGCTGCAGGTCCTCGCCGCTGCAGGGCCGTACAAGACCTGCGCCTTCAGATCTCCTGAATTCGGGTCCAGGGTAGAGGCACGCCTGAGAGACGTTGACTAGATGTACAGTTGAAAAGTGCTTCTCTAAAGAATTAAAATGGGATTTTGGAACAAAGCATATCTTTTTCACAAAACCGGGCCTGCGTCTGAAATGACCCGTAGATCCCGTTTTCCCCAATGGATATCAACATTATGACTATGTACAGTACACGATAAAAATATTATAGAAATAAAAGATCCAAGATCCCGTTCGGCTTCCCTCAAAGCAGCAAAGCTGGTAGTGTTGTCGTGGCTCGAGTTACACCCCACATCTGGTCCCGTCCTTGATGAGAATTTCCTGACTTTCCCGCAGACGCTTCAGTTGCCGTTGTACAGAGCCCTAGCTGAATCCACTTATCAGCTCTCGCTCACACCCAAACAGAAAAAAAAAAAAACAGACCTTAGCATTCCACCAAAACAATACCCCAGGTTGGACACCTCACTCAAAGCAACAACCCCGCAACAACAGGCGCCACGCCCAAAAACACAGTGCGCGGCCCCAACAACCGCCCGGCCCCGTTATGCTCCACGGGGAAGGCGTCCGGGTCGTCGGTGTTGCAGTGGCCCTCGGTCTCGGTGGAGCTCAGCGTGCAGTTGGCGGTGCGGCCGTCGGCGCTCTCGAAGGTCAGCACGGCGCTGTACCAGTCCACGGTGACCGAGGCGTCGCCGCAGATGGACTTGGTCTGGACGCCCGTGTTGCGGCCGCACGACTTCTTGAACGGCTTCGACGAGCCCTTGCAGCCAAACAGCTCGTCCTCGAGGATCACCGAGCAGTGCGACACGTACGAGTTGGCCGGCGGGTTGGTCGTCCGGATCTTGATCTCCGCGGCGCTGAGGGTCTGCGCGAGGGCGAGGAGGGCGCCGATCTTGAGGAGGTGCATGGTTTGGATGTGGGCTTGAGGAGTCTGGAGTGGGAAGCGCCGGATGAGAAGCTACAGGAAGGGTCGGGTGTAGGGAGTCAAGCTGAAGACTGCGGTTTATATGCTTCCTGGGCTACTACGGGCAATTCTCGGCTATCCCGGCACGTCGAGTCGGGTGCTCGGGACCCTGAAGGGTTTTTTTGTGTGATGGGCGACCAGTCATGCTGAGGCTTATCGGGCGTTGAGGAGCTCCACTGTACTTTCTTTTTGAATACTGTATGGAAAGAGAGCCTTGCGGTCTTTTTGAGCAATCGTACTGTACAAGATCCGCTGCGAGCAGTTAAGACTTCCAGAGCATCCGTGCCGGCGATCCGCATCGGGCTTGGCAGGGTACGGCTTGGCGTACAGGGTCTTTTCCACGACACAACAAAGTAATAGCTATTGCTGAAAGCACGGCGCAATGATGATACACATAACAAATCGATTGATGTTTGACTTGAATATTTAATAGCTGTCTCGATTTGATTGTATATGCATACAGAAGAGAAACCCTTTCAAATGCGGGTTTCTCTCCCTCAGACCACAAACTCGTCTAGCCTCTAGGCTCCGGGACATCCGGGCAGGATCCACTCCATCCGACTGGTGTCGAATGAAGACGTTGTTCCTGATCCAGGATGGGAGGACAATTCACAAAAAAGGCAAATCGAAAATCAGTAGGCCGTGGGTCACATGGTTCCTTATAGTCTAGATAAGCATAGGTAGTAGAATTAAATCCCGCAAAAGGACGAGCCATTGGCAAATTGGCAGTTATCATTGGTGCTAGAAGCTACTCAGGCAAGGTCACGAGCATTGAAGCTGTGCCTGAGGACTGTTCTGGATTCGATACGCTACTCAGGTACCAGCCTCGTCATGAAAAGAAACTTATAGCTACTCTGCAGGTGCAATCCACTACTAGGTAGAGCTCTACAGTAAGTATCAAGCAGTCAAGCCACGACCACACGATAGGTGAATGCAAACGAGTCCACCCAATCAAGGTCATCGACCAAGCTACCACCTACCGTATCATCCTCATCTACTCCCCTAGTCTTTTACCTGATCTTCAAAATCAACCCTAATAACAACTAGGTACGGTACCATCTACGCCATCGTCAACCCACAATTCTCACAACACCCATTCTCATCCTCACTCTCCGAATCCTCATCGAAGAAACTCCCCTCGGATTCATTCACCACCCCCAACGTCCGCCGCAGCGACCGCAGCCACTCCTCCACCCGCCCCCGATCCTGCACAAGACACAGCACCTTACACAGCCCCCGCCGACACCCATCCTCGCCCTGCAGATTCTGGAACCACACGTGGCCCCCCACCGCAACCCCGAGCACAAACTCCGGCAGCAGCGCGGAGTCCGCCGCCACCAGCTGCTGCTGCAGGAGGGCCAGCTTGCGCTGTCGGATCTCGCGGAGCTGGAGCTCCGGACTGGCCTGTGCGGTGGTCGCATCGTGGCAGATGATCTGGATGACGATGCTGTCCTGCCCGTTTTGCGGGACAGGGCTCACGAGATCGATGATCTCGTAGAGGAGGGGGTTCTGTGTGGCCGACTCGATGAATCGGCGGGTGAGGAGTCGGTAGTTCTGGGCCTGGCTGTCGCTGTCGCTGCTGCTGCTGCTGCTGCTGCTGCTGCAGGGAAAGACAAGCGCGCGGCCGAGGATCTGCGCCCATAGTTTGGCGGTCTCGCGGGCGCTCGGTTGGGTGTTGGACTGGCTGGCTTCGAGGTAGGTTCGGATGTGCGGATCGGCCCAATAAGACCAGGGGCGCTGGGTGTGGGCTGTGGTTTTGTCCTGGGGGGGCAGGGTTAGTTCGATTGTTTGGGTGGTGTAGCTTTGGGGCTTTTGGGATGGGGTGGCCATTTTGATGCGGGGGGGTTCTTGTTGGGTGAGGGAGGTTAAGGTAGATGGGTGGTTCGAGGATGAGGTCTGTTGGTTAGAGGCTTGGGAATGCTGGGGTGCATGATGGAACAGCACTGTAGATGGGCGTATTTATACCCTACATGGTGGAGAGATTATGATCGAAGAGAAAGAAGTGTGTAGAAAGAGACTTGGTGTAGCCTTTCTGCCTACTGTGAAAGAGGGTTGAGAGGGATGATGTGGTCATTATGGCTATACAAATGTGAAGGGCAGCAGAGTGGGGATCGTCCTGCAATCCTGTTCATACTAGATTCTGCATTGTGATTATTGCTTTCTTTCTGTAGCGGAGGAGAATAAGTATGCAAGAAGCTTAATTGTTGAGTAGCATGCTTGTGATGTATGCCTTTGTCAATTTCCTTTGTTTGGATTGTCTTGGTATAGCTCTTTGTTCTTAGATCTTGCTGCACCCGACTTGGCTTCGTCCCCTTCTTAGATGGGTTGCAGCAGGCTGACCAATCATTGGCACTTCTTGTCAATCTTCTCAGGCTGGTGCAGGGGTATGCATATGCTTATCTAGATGGGGCATGAACAAGCAATTACTTACGTATGTTAGCGGCTCGGCTGAGCGAGCCAAGGTTGCACAATAAAAGTAAGTCTAAGAGATTCGCAGAGGAGCTGGTTTATCTAATACAGTGGATCGTTGTTTCTATACTCCAGATCTTGCCCCGCCCCAAGTAACCTGAAGTAATTTATAGCATGTACTGCGCGGGCCGAGCTAGTACATACAACACAGCTAAAGATTACCTCCAATCAGGATTCAAGCTCATAGTAGTTTTCTTGTATGAAAGATTTGCTTAGTAGTGACCTGTGCTTGCTTATATCACGTATAAGAAAGAGTTATATGTGAGGACCGACAATGTAAACCTGGGAGAGTAGGTAGAGGGTGACGGGGCTGTTACTATTCGATGTTGAATACACGTTTATTTTAGGGCTATTATGCAAAGTAGTCGGTGGAATGACATCAACTAGCATCATTGGTCTAGTGGTAGAATTCATCGTTGCCATCGATGAGGCCCGTGTTCGATTCACGGATGATGCACTCACTTTTTGCCCTTTCTTTTTTCCTTCCCCTTCCCATCCACCTGATCTTTTCTGTTCTATTTTGTCACCTTCCTTGCTCCGTTTATTTTGCTTTATATTGTTAATCTTGATGTTGTTTCTCTTGGTGTATATCATTGACCGGAACGTCAGTTCCTTTGCTACAGAATTCAGACATTGCCAACTATAAGACATATTCTGGTACTATCAATTATTATTCCCAAACACCCAATGTGTATCTCCCGAAAAATCCCACATATTGACCAGGTCGCTCGGCAGTTGAGTGAAATCGAACTCCTCAAGCGAAGGGACGATACTGGAGGGCATACCCAGCGCCGACATATCGCGGAACTGGTCTACCGGACATCCCGGTATCTCATTATCCTGGTCTGGCTCTTTCACCGTATCTGCAAGATTGTCAGTTTGACCAGAAACCATGACAGACCCTGTCGCAGTACAACCTACCTGAGCCCCCAGATCTCACAGCACAACCAACCCCGCCGTCCCCCCCTGCCACAGCATCCTCGGCCGAGCCATCCACCTTCCGCACCATGACGCTAATCGCCAGCCAAGCCTGCCTCGCCTCCGCCGACTCCCCCTGATACCGAGTCAGGATCCTCTGCGAAGTGCGTAACGCGAGCAGCAGCGCCTCAGTCCCCGGATTGTAAACGTGTGTGTCCCCGCCACCATCGCGCCTCCGCAAATGCAGCTCGAAACACACCACCATGGCAGCGAAGATGAAATCATGGGTCGTCAACGAGGTCACGAACCAGCGACACCGACTCAGCACCCCGCCCGGCTGGACCTGCGCGTCGATCGTCGCCTGATGCCGCAGCAACCGCATCGCGGCGTCCAGACACACCGCTCTCGACGCGGCGCCTCGTGGATCCGAGCGACCTTCACCAAGTCCTCGCCGGTGGAGGATACACCGCGACTTTTGGTACAGGATCTCGAGATTATAGCGCAGCATCACGAGATGCGGCAGCTCCGTGACCGAGGCGCCGACCTCGCGGAACTTCAGGACTGCCGGCGTGCCCGCGTAGGCGGCGTTGAGCTGCTGGTCGAGCTGAACGACCTGCGTGGGCGCCGTCGGGCCCGTCGAGGCAACGTGATCCGCGATGCGGCCGAACACCTCCGCCAGCCGGCTCTTGGCGATGAGATACAGGACCGGCGTGAACTCGGTCTCCGCACGGGGCGGCGGGAGACTGGTGGACGCTGGACCGAAGTCCTCGTCCAGCAGGTTGTGCGGCGGCCGGGTGTCGGCCACCCCGCTGGCGATCATGCGCGGCAGGCCGATCTGGAACGAGAACAGCGCGTCGAGCTGCGCCATCAGCGACCACAGGCGCCGGCGCATCTCGGCCTCGAAGCAGGAGAGTTCTGGGGAGTACCCCGCCCCGTCGCGGTGGAGCCCGGCCCGCATCGCGAGGCGGATGGTCATCCCCATCAGGAGCCAGACTTCGTGTTGGGCGTCTTTGCTGCGGAAGTACTCGGTTTGGGTGTATAGGGAGAGCGCTTCGAGGGTGTATTTGGTCGGGGTGGTGTATTTGGCCGCCAGCAAGCAGTAGGCTGCTTGCAGGCGGAAGGTCTCGCATTGGGTCTCGGGGGTGGTGATGTTGTTGTTGTTGTTGTCAATGGGGTCCGGGGTGATGGGGCCTTCGGTGCGCTGGTGCAGGTGGATGGCGAGGTTCATTATGCTAAAGAGGATGCTGAGCCATGTGGGGCTGATGGATTGGGGGTCAGTCCAGAAGTGGTCGTACTGGGCTTTTGTCAGTAGGTGCGGTAAGCACGGGTTATGGTGGTGGGTAAGAGACCTCTTGCTGGAAGGTAGGGGCGTGGATGATTACTGGTGGGGTGAGATTAGTTGACTTGTTATTATGATGAGGATAAGTCAACTCACAAACACCAGGTTCCATCGAACTGAAGAATCGCGACACTAACCGGTCAACAATGGGTCGTGCTGGAATATGAGCCAGGATCTCCTCCATTCCACCCGGTGGTGACAGTCCCAGTAGCAACGCGGACTCTTGCTGGCCGGACTCTGCAGCAGGCGTAGTGAAGGGTGACTCAGAGTCAACACACTCTTTGATCTCAGCGATCTGTTTACTGAATGTAAGTAAACAAGTTGATTATGTCAATAGTCCAGGAGCATTTGTAACAGCAACATACACTATCCTGAAGTGCGGCCCAGTGCGCACCTGAAACATAGCTCATACCCGTCGGATCCACGCGCATACTTCCCAATGAGTTGGTGATTGCATCTTGCCCATCTGCATCGTCAAACTGCCTCTCCTGCGCCGTGTGCAGGGGGCTGCCCGAATGGCCTGAGCCCCCACCCTTCTGCAGGACCGTTACGAGCTCCTCGAGTTGCCGAATGCGTTGACTCAAGTGCCGCGCTGACGAGGGAGGATTGCGACGCGAAGCAGCCGAAGCTGACCCCGTGTAGACGCAGTCCAGACCACGCTTGACACAGCTGCTACACGGTTGAAGGCGATCACATCGCAGTCTTGCGTAGGTCAGTACCCAGGGTGGCTGCGGGGGGACATGGGCGTTTACTTTTTCTGACGACAAAAGGTACAGGATAGGGCTGTTCTTACTGGAGGCTGCAGCGATGCCATGATTCTGTAGTTCGGTTCCTAACCAGTAGAGACCAGAGCCCAGTCACACTGTGGCTTGTTTGGCGTGAACGATTACCGTGCGGGTGCGGGGTTATCAGCCGTCGCTTATGTCAGCCCCACATCATCCCTGTTCCACCTGAGGCTTATTTGGATGCCGCTCTCGATGTCGGTCTCGAATGCCATATTATCTGGACTGTAATCGATTCTAATGCGGGAATTAAGGCAAGCCGGCTGAGATCAGGAAGTAAGCCCCACTGTGTAAATTTGCTTCAAGAGGAAAAGCCAGCTCTTGCGGACCTTGAATCATTGCCTCACCCGGAAGATAATCATCAGCCAGGTTGGTATGACATCTTTTCCCAAAAGATCCCAAGTCTCTAGAGTGAGCCAAGTGTAGATCCGCCGATCCAAAATACCCGGCTTGCAAGTACGTATAGGGTGTGGCTCCTGAAGCCTCCCACAAGACGTGTGCCCCTCGGGGCCACCAGCATCTCCGGACTTCCCATCCAAGCCTAGCGCCGGCCCGGAGATGCTAGCGCCGGAAGCAGACCCGCCCCATCGCATCGGGCCCGGGCCCTTGCCCCGGGATCGACCCTCAAGAAACCATAGTATAAATGCTTAGCCCAACCAAGTACTGAGCGTATCCCATCGCCTCCCACTCCGAAATCCACAACACTCATTACAATCACAACACTCTCCTAAAGAGCACAGCCGGAAATGACAACCCTCCGACAGATCTTCCCCCCACCCCCCACCTTCACCGACCGCACCATCCCCGACCTCACCGGCAAAACCGTCCTTATCACCGGCGCCACCTCGGGCGTGGGCTACCACGCCGCCAGCCTCCTGTACGCCAAGCACGCAACCGTGTACATCGCCGCGCGCTCCGCCGCGAAAGCCCGGGCCGCCATCGCCGCCATCCAGGCCTTGCCGGAGTGCACGCACAGCCGGGGCCGAATAGCGTTTCTCGCGTTAGATCTCGCCGAGTTGGGCGATATCAAGCGCAGCGTTGAGGAGTTTCTGGGGAAGGAGGATCGGCTGGATGTTCTGGTTCATAATGCCGGGGTGATGACGCCGCCGGCGGGGAGTAAGACTGATCTCGTATGTTGGTTGGCTCTTATCCGGTTTTTCTTTCCTGGAAGGCGGAAGATGATGTGCTGATGTGATGTGATGGGGGTTGTTGCAGGGCCATGACCTCGAGATGAGCACGAATTGTCTCGGTCCCTTTCTGTTCAATCAGCTCCTTCTTCCGGTGTTGCAGCGCACAGCTGCTTCTGCGGAGCCGGGGAGTGTTCGTGTGGTCTGGGTGGCTTCGTTGCTCTCTGCGTTCGTTGCGCACGGGGGGATTGTCTTCGACGAGGAAACTGGCGCCCCTCAGGTGCTTAAGAATGCGATGGAGAATTATATGCAGAGTAAAGTCGGGAATGTGTTTTTAGCGAGTGAGATGGCGAGGCGGTTCGGTGGGGACGGGGTGATGAGCTTGGTTTGTTCCCTTCCTTTCCTTTTCATTTTCTACCCCGATTGGGGACGCAGAGAAGCTTGTACTGATGAGCACTCTAGAGTGTGAATCCCGGACTCATGAAGACGGAGCTCCAGCGGCATAATTCGCCGGCGCAGGGGAAGATTATGGTACGTCCTTTATTTCGTTTTAAAGTGCTAAGGTGGAATGCGTGCTAATAGTAGCAGGGGGTTCTCTTCAAAGGCCCGCGGTACGGAGCGTACAGTGAGCTGTTTGCGGCGCTGTCGCCGGAGGTTACCCCCGAAAGAAACGGGGCATTCGTCATTCCTTGGGGTAGGTTTGGGACGGTGCCGTGTCATATTGAGAAGGGTTTGGCCAGTGAGCGGGATGGGGGCACGGGGGCGGCGGAGAGGTTCTGGGGGTGGTGTGAGCGGGAGACGGCTGCTTTTCGCTGAGGAGCTTGTAGCTGTCTACCTGTATTAGTTCAAATAACGTAATCGGTAAGCGAGTGGGCACGGCAAGCGAGTGGGCACCCGCGCGTGTCGTCTTTATATTCTTAAAATTGAAGTAATTCAACTACTAATAATTCCACCAAATATGCCTTAATTATTAAATTTTTTGGTAGAACAAGAGGGCCGTATCTGCCTTGCTATTAAGGCTGTTTAAGATAGCAAAATTCCGCTTGTTAAGAAAGCTATAAGTATTTTTAATATTCTATATTCAACTCTGCAACGACGCTTTAAAAGAGTCAAAGTACAGCTAAATATATATACTAACTTTATAAAATTAACTCTTTTTGAAGAAGAGGCTTTAAAAAATTAGATTCTTTTACTTATAAAGCGTAGGCTTTATTCTCGGCCGGTATATATATAGAATATAGTAATAATTCTTTTCTAAAAATAAAATTTGAATTCTACAGTCTCTGTAGATAAAAAATAGATATATAATTTTATTAAATATACTCCGGCTTTAAAGACTTAGTTTTTTTTTAGATATTATATTTAACGTACAAAATGCGAAAATCCGAAACTTTAAACTAAATAATTTAACTATATTAAAGCTGTAAAAAAGAAGTATAGTATTCTTAATTAAAATATCTGAAATTTTAATAAGACCAGTTTTATTATAGAAATAGTAGCTACAGTCTATATAGTTATATAGTCTGACTATATAAACAAGCTATTTTTTATATAGTTAGAAAATCGAGAATAGATAATTTTAATTAAGTATATTAACGCTGCCGGTATGGTATTATTACTATACTTGATTTTTAAGAAAAAAGTTTATATAGAGATATAGTACTAAAGTCTTTTTTTTAATTAGTATATTAATCTATTACTAAATAGTTAGACTTTTAATAATATTGGTTTATATTGGCTTCGTAAATATTTTATTTCTTGTACTAAGAACCGGCGGATAGAATAATATAGTCTCTTAATTTTTAGTAAATATAACTTCTATTTAACAGCGGAATTTAATAATATATATAGTTTAAATAATATGATTTCTATCTGTATACTTTTATATTTTTTATATTTTTATTAACTACTTAACGTTGCTTGCTTTATACTATTAAAAAGAATATATAAAAATTTAGTAGAACAGCTAATCCGCCAGAGCATCTACTATATTAATAAGATTAATTTCTTAAATATATACCCAGAAGCACGTTCTCTTACTTTTAAAGAATTAACTATTTATAATATTTTTAAGGCTTTAGAATTAGTTTTATTCCAGCCGGACAAGATTCTTAGTAAACTGGTTATATAGATCTGTAAGTCTATTCTAACTAGCAGTATTACTATTATATTAATAGTACTAAAAACGCCTAAAAATATAAAGTAATTATAGAGATATAAAATCATAATTAAAAGACTTCTTTATAAATATATAATTAGCCCGTTCTCGTAAATAAAAACAATATTATTCTATATTATAAAAGAATGCGAAATTATCTTTAACCGGGCTACTTTACTTAAGCAGAAAAATAATAAATTTAGAACTGGATTAGAGAGGCAGAATATTAAGAATAAAAGATCTTATTATTAAATAGCTGATCTAGATAGTCTTACTATTAACAAGGCCAGAAACACATTCAAAAGAATTTATAAAGCTAATTAAATTAGTAGAAGCCAGCTTAAAAAATTAGCTGCTAGTAAGAAACAACCTTGCTGCCGGATACTACCTTGCTGCAGCAATTATAATAGAATTAGATATATAAAAACAAGATATTCAACACATCAAAATACCAATTAAATACGTTAATTCTTTGATATATAGTGTATATAAGCTTCATCTTTTTATGGAAGGCTGTTTGGGTGGGCGCGGGTGCCTACTTGCTTACCGTGCCCACTCGCTTACCGATTACGTTACCCTACTTGTGTTCAACTTATTAACGAACGTATCTGTGTCAACTACTATCCTACGTCGATCACTGTATGCACGTACTCATGAGATAGTATAAGAAAGGCAAGCCTCGGCAATGGTTATCGCCCGATAAGCGCGGCAGTTCCAGGCATGGATGCGGCTAGCCCCGAAGTCTAACAAGTGGGGCCCCACATGCGGTCGGACCACGTTGCACGGAAAGGGGAGAGCACAACCATCCTATACTTAGTAACTTAAAACTGGTGCAAGCCCTGTGGGCCTGGCCAAATTGGCATACATAAGCCCAGTAAGACCCGCAACAAACCTCTCAACACTCAGATAAAACCTCGTACACATTCCATCACCACCAATGGACACACCAGACTACGAAGCCGAAAAGGCCAAGATGCTCCGCGGCGAGCTCTACCGCGCCTTCACCCCGGGCCTGATCGCCGCCCGCCACCGCTGCAAAGTCGCCGTGCATGCGTTCAACAACGCCGGGATCGTCTCGCGACGGCGGCAGGTGGAGTTGTGGAGAGCGTAAGTCTTTTGTATGCCCTGGCTTTTTCTTGGGAAACGGGTGCTAAGAATGTACCAGAATCATAGAAGACGCCCGCCCCCTTCCACCGCCGGCCCCTACTCCAGAAGAAGACGAGGCGTTCTTCGAGCAGGAACCCTGGGTGGAAAGCCCCATTCGCATGGACTACGGGTTCAACGTGAGTGTCGGCGCGGGCACGTTCATTAACTTCAACTGCACGATCATCGACACCTGCCGCGTGGTGATCGGGGAGCGATGTCTGTTCGGCCCGAATGTGAGTCTCTACACGGGACTGCATCCGCTGGACGGGGAGGTGCGGAATGGCACGGCCGGGCCGGAGTGGGGCAAGGAGATTCATATCGGCGATGATTGCTGGTTGGCCGGGGATGTGAAGATTCTGGCGGGGGTGACAGTTGGAAAAGGGTCGACGGTTGGGGCGGGGAGTGTGGTTACTAAGGTTAGCCAACTTGTGCTCTGTGGTAGTGGATGAGGTGCTTGCTGACAATTGTTATAGGACGTACCGCCGTATTGTGTGGTGGTCGGCAATCCAGCGCGAGTGTTGAAGTATCTTAAGGGGAGCCCGCATTTCAAGGAGGAAGGAGCATCGGATTAATGGACTTGATGGAGGAGGTAGAGGCTAGATTCAAGGTGTTGGAGTCTAACTATGGTCAGATGGTTGGAAGCTGCGAAGTAGATATTATGTCTCGGTCAGTAGTGCACGGCAAGTATGATGTAATACGATTGTCGGTTCACGGTTTGGACTACTAATAACATGAAAAACACAGCACTAAATAGCATGAACGGTGTACAATCAAGACCTGCCCACAGAATCATCAAAAAATGAAACCGAGAATGTTGCCCTAGCAAGCATGAAATCTTTTCAAACAGGCAGTCAAGACACATCCGGCCAGCAACCCTCGCGAAGCCTGAGCGGGTCCGAGCCCACCCATCCGGAGCAGTAATCCCAAGGGCTTAGGTGATCCAAGCATTCGAGTCGATACGAAATCTCGTGCTGCTGGGCACCTGGGGGTGAGCGAAAGTACCGGATCACGGGGTCATTCCTACAAGAGACCCATTGCTCGATATACTGAGTCCTGCCATCTCGGCCAGCGTCGGGCACGGTTCTATGGGACTGCAGCTGCTCCACATGGATGTGAACGCTGTCCTTGACCGGGAACACGAGTCCATACAAGAAAGAATTGTAGGGATACTGGCTCAGCCTGCCTATTCTACCAACAAGCCAATTCGTATGGACTCGCGCCGCCCCGCCGCACAAGACGTACCACCCCTGATAGACGGGGTAGGACACGAGCCCGTGCCCAGCGATCATCATGGCATCACCCACGGGGACCCGCATCGGCCGGATGAGGCCGTCCCTGTTGAAATCCGCCCAGTAGGAATTGATGCGGGCTTTTCTCCCCATGTATTTAATCGCTAGATAGAGCCAAGCGTCTGATAGTCGCACCCCGGCCGGCGGCCAGCCGTGCACGTTTGGGTCCCAGATACCCCGGACCAAGGGCCAGCTCGCCCAGTCGGCGGGTGTCGCGATCCTTCCTGACTGCCGGGCGGGTGGTGGCGGAGGGTTTAGGTCTCCCAGGGTCCAGTATGTTGTGGGTTCCTGGTGGTTGACGAGGAGCGCTCTGCAACGAGCCCGCATTCCTTCGAGCTCCTCCCAGTACGTTCGCGACGGTTCGAAGAACCGGCCTAAGTCTAAGTCGTTTGGCATGGTCTCGTGCCAAGAGTGTCTGTTTAGGGTGGATTCGAGAGTGTCGAGTCAGTCGATTAGCGTAAACGGTTTGATTCCAGGAAGTACCCACGTGCAGATGGGACGACTTGAAGAATGATATGGATGAGTCCTTTATAACCAGTTGTTGTCAACAAGACATCATAGAAAAGTGGATTCGGCCATGGGGATCTTCTGCTGTAGACAAACCTTCAAATGGAAACTACCAGGGCAAGAAAACCTTTGTTCAACAACTTCAAATCTTCGGTATTACTAGAGCTTTGCTCCGAAGTAAGTATATGGTCTGCATGGCTCCACAACGAAGAACATACAGCAGTTTAACTTGATGGCTTCAGAGCAAGTGTGCGTTTGTTCGTGTTTTCAGGTATGTCCGATAAGTTCATTCTTGAACTTCCTCAGTAATCGGCGGTGGATGGGAACGGTGACACTTAAGGAAGAAGTTTCACAAAGAAGGAAGAAATTTTGAGGAGTAGATAAAGCGTGTGGACTATCGCTTATAAATGGTGATTGGAGAAGTTGGCAGCTTCTGATCACATTCACCGTTAATCACCTGGGGTGAAACATCAAGATACAGTACTTCATTAGTGAAATATTCACTAAAGCGATCCGTGGAGAACAAGAAAGCAGAGATTAATTCAGATCATTGAGATACATAAACTTCTAGAACAGTAATTAGTGAATCAATCGGCAGGATCTACCGATCCAGTTATACTTTTAAGCTCACTTGGTCATAGGACCTATCTAATATCATGCTGTAAGTGCATGCTCTTTAAAGATTTTGATTGATTATACGTATTGGTCCCTCAGCACATAGCACAACTAATATTCATCGGCGGTAATGATAGGACTTGATTTGTAAGGATCCATGCGTGGATCAAAGCTACAGCTGCCACTTCTTAGTTATATGAGGCAGTATCTTAGTATATTTCACAACGTGTCGCATAGGAAGTAATTCCTTTATATCAGGGGATTTTATACTGCTCCCCGGGCCAATGCGACATCAATGTACTGTAGTTGCCACAGGCCGCATAATCGGATGAATAATCATGCATACGTTGAGCATAAGTAACCACATGGGAAGTCTTCTGTTCGGCTAGACTCTCTCCCTCTTTCTTCCACCGATCGATCTACAGTTCATCCACTCACTAAGCATTGACAAAAGTACTATGTCGGCTCGACTCCATATCTCAAACAAAATCAGAGCCTGATGATGAGATGTGCTACAAGGCACAGCAATAGTCCATCTAATTCCAACAACTACCCAGCCATGGAGTTCGACACGTTGCCTCTTCAGCGCAGGAAGAGGCAATCCCAACGATCCACTACCGGGTGTATAATGTGCCGCACCCGCAAGAAGAAATGTGACGAGCTGCATCCGATTTGCACTGGCTGTCAGCGCAACGGCTTAATCTGCGAATGGCCCTCCGCGGAGCGACCGCAACGAAAACCGCGCCGGTCACAGCACCACCAGCTGCCGCAGATGGGCTATGCCCTGCCACCGCATATCGAGGCGATGATCACCGTCTTTGCCGTTCCCAACGCCGACATGGCCAGTCGAGTTCTGTCTCATTTCACCGACTACAGCCCTCGATGGCTCTCCACCCGTACAGGACGCCGCCGGTCGGAGTTCCTGAACCACCTGATTCCAGCGGCCATGGATAGTCCACTCATTCTAAAGTGCATTTTGACTGTCTCAGCGGCGGACCTGATTAAGTATGATCCTTCCAATGTGGGACTGAAGGGCGCGGCGGTGGAGTACTATGGCCAAGCACTCGCGAGTCTCCGTGAAGCTATTGCTGATGAGGAGAGATCCGGCAGCAGCCCCTCTGGTAGGAGATGCACCCTGTCTTGATAACTCGAGACTAACATGTTGCAGACTACACCCTATTAGCTGTACTGCTCATCTGTCTCCACGAGGTCAGCATGCCCCCCTCAAACCAATGCTAAAGTCTAATGCACCATAGATCCAAAATTTCACCTCCGTGCACCGCCTCCTCCCCCATCTCAACGCAGCAGCAGCCCTCTTTTCCCACAGAGTAGACACCACCACCGCCCCGCCCAACTCCCAGCTCCGCCAACTTCTGTCCGATCTATTTAGCTACTTCTTCGCCCTGACCACCTTCACCCACGGTCCCCATCTCGCCCTCCACCGCGGCTCCTCAATTCTCGAATCCTACCTCACCACGCCCCATCCCAAACCCACAGGCCCGGGCACAGGGGCAATCCTCGGCACCGCCCAACAAATTTTCCTGATCATCTTTCGCGCCTCCCGCCTCATTCAACTCGCCAAACAAACCCACACCCCGCTCACCGCCGCCATGAAGACGAAACTCACCGCAATGGAGCGTCAGCTCCACGCCCTGCAAAACAAAACCCTGCCCCCCTTCAATCAGGGCTACACCGATATCGAAGAACAAGGCGACGCCATCATGTCCGAGCTGTACCGACTGGCGTGTATCCTGTATCTGAAACGCACGATCGAACCGGCCCTCGAGATCAAAAGCCACACGATCCAAGCCCTCGTCACGGATTTTATTCGCTTACTGGAACTGCTGCCGCCCCACCACCCGGTGAACTGTATTCTGTGCTGGCCGCTGGTGGTGGCGGGCCTGTGTACGACGCTGCATGCGCATCAGCGGGTGATCACGACGCGGCTGGGCCAGATCTATGGGGTGTGGACGTCGGATTTGGTGACGATGAGCATGAAGCTTTTGCGGCGGGTGCAGGCGGGTGGGGATGAGATGCATTCGAAGATAAAACCCCGTTTGGGTGGTTATGGGATGCATGATTTGCAGTTTGCGATGGTTTTGTTGTAGCTTTGGCGGTTGAGGGCAAGCTTTGGGAGTTTGGATTTCTGGTGGATTGGTATGGTGGTGGGGTTGCTATCAAGGGAGTCGAGACAGTAATTGTTCAGTTGATGTTGCTGTGTTTACTGGGTCGTCCTGGTCACCAAGAACTAATGGGCTCAGTTACAGTTATCGAAGCCTGCGCACGGCATATTGATCTAGCTGCATAGCGATATACAAAGACTCAGTATAGTGTGTTCCTTGCATGTAGCTCACCGTCTGACCTTAGATCTGTCTAGTCAGAGTGTGCGGCAATATATGGATGCACCATTAACTAGGTAACGCATTCTACATAGAATGCATTTTTTGAGGTACATGTGCAGTAAACCAAGATATCGAACTGTTCCTATTCTAACTTCACTTTACCAATCGCCTCTTGCATATACGGCACACATAATGAGCAGCTGCCGACCCAGTCATGAGAACAAAGAAGAAGCCTTACGGAGAAGAGATTCAACTTAATAAGCATATACTGTAAAGGTATAACAGGCACTTTTCTCTTCACCCCTGCAGCAGTCATTATCCATCGCCACGGTTGACAATGCTATAACCGCACAATCCAGAATTATAAATAAAGCCCCTAAGCAAGAAACCCCTCAAAGCTTTTCAGGTAACATGCCACCGAACCCGGACAACACCACTTATAAAATGGCCCGCCCAACCAACATACCCAGGCTGCACGTCACCACCCCGCGAACCCCATCCCCAACTCCAGCATCAGAGACCAGCCCCTACAGCCTAGCAGCCACCATTCGCAACAAGTTGCGTCTCTCCGACCACACCACTCCGCGCCACTCAGCAAACGCAGCAGCCACCTCACCTGCAAACAGCCGCAGCGCAAACAGACGTCCCTCGCAGGATATAACCCAGCTGCGCCGGCCCCTGTCTCCGCTCCTCCCCAGCAGAAAATCCTCCCACCCGTCCATCTCTCCGTGCTCAACCTGGACGGACGACTCCATACCTGAGCCGAGCCCTAACCACAGCACCACCCCCAACCCAACAACCATGCCGGCCCCGGCACCGGCACCGGCCCCTGCAGCCTTGCCCCTGAACCCCCCACCTGCACCCCAACCCGCACTCCAACCCGCACCCCTCAATCCC